AACGAGCTATGATCTGCACATTTCCTACAAATACATATTTATCGAAACTGGTAAATATTTGTGATTTAGCATCGACAGGACACATTTTCGCGAACAATCTCTGCGCAATCGCTTCCAGTTAGCAATCGACTCGATGACTTATCAGAGCTGAGCATATATGACAGAACATTACATATGTTGGCAGTTGATCCAATATATCAAAAAGAGGTAGGCCAAACTTGAGAAAACTCCCGGGTGCATGTTTAACAACTTCTTCCCAAGCAAAAAAAAAAGAATGTTTAGGTAGCTCTTGGAAAGCGTATAGGTTTCTATCGACTTGGTAAGGAACTTGGAGCCGGAAATTTTTCGAAAGTAAAATTAGGAATACATGTTCTTACCAAAGGTGAGCTATTACTTTCAAATTATTTACAAACTATTAACAACTGTACAAAATATTAACAACTTAAAAATGAAACTAATACTTTAATTGCTCTATGTGGTATTTCACTCAACATACAGTCAGTCACAGCAGAGGAATGGAATACTAAATTTTGAGAGCGAAATTTCTAGCCAATTTATAGATTCGTAAAAGCTTACAAAAATACTTTAAATATTTGAGTATTTTTAATTTACTTCCTACCATTCCAGTTGTCACGCAAGAGAAACTTAGTTGAAAGTACTGTTATTCAAATGCGTCCGCAATTGCAATAATGTTTTAACGATATTTTCGTAAAATTTACGAGATAGAGGAATCTCTAATTGCTACGTGCAAGAGAACATTGACTGTTAGCAGAGGAGTTGAAAATTACTTATAACAAGAAAAACAACAAAAGTTATGCATTAAATAGTTTAAGGATTTTATTTGTGGAAAACCTTTACCTAAAATTTCAGAAAAAGTAGCAGTAAAAATTATGGATCGTACGAAAATGGATACGAAAGCACAGCGATTGCTGGAGCGAGAAATCAAATCTATGGAGAAGATGCATCATCCGAATATTATACGGTTATTCGAGGTTAGCTGGCAATGGTCGTTCTCTGTTTTTCATTACGAATCATTGTTAGATGAAGCCGCACT